CAGCCTGGGACAGAAGCAGACGGACTTCCGTCCTCAAAACAAAAACAAAACAAAAAAAACAAAAACAACAGAAACGGGGAAGCTAAGGAAAATCATAGCTAGTAGTCCCAACTTCCTCTATAAATTTTAACATAAGACATCTCCAAGAGACTATGCTTAACCGAGGGAGTAGAATTTGGTGAAGTCTCCTTGAATGAGCCTAACTTCAACTCCTTTTCATGAACATTTTCACCACCTATTGCAATTTCCCTGCAGTTTACTATTCTCTTCCAAAGAGCAGTACTATACAGAGTATTCTAGATGTCATCAGATCCATATAGTGGGACTAGCACCTTCTTCAATCGAACACGGGTCAAATGGAAATAATAGTCTCAATCACATAGTGTTGTAAAAATTACGTGAAAAATTTAAAAGAAAATAACTGTCTTGAAAAATATGAGGGTTTTGGGTACTTTGTGCTATTTTCCTTCTATTAAGGAACAAACAAGAGAGATAATAGGACCGGGCATGCTGGCTCAGGCCTGTAATCCCATCAATTTGGGAGGCCGAGGCACACAGATCACTTGAGGTCAGGAGTTTGAGACCAGTCTGGCCAACATGGTGAAATCCTGTCTCTATTAAAAAAAAAAAAAATTAGTAGGGCATGGTAATGTACACCTGTAATCCTAGCTACTTGGGAGGCTGAGGCAGGAGAATAATTTGAACCTGGGAGGCAGAGGTTGCAGTGAGCTGAGATCACGCCACTGCACTCCAGCCTGGGTGACAGCCTAAGACCCCGTCTCAATTAAAAAAAAAAAAGATAACAATAAATATGATTTTCAATCACTATGTATTGAATAGGTCAATAATATAGTAAGAATTCTTAATCCCATTTAAGAGAAGATCAATGAGTCTCAGCAAAAGACAGTAACAGGACTAAGGTCATACAGTCAGTAAGTGAATGGTAAGTTGGGCAGCTCCAAAGCCTGTGAGCTTTCCATCACATATTTTAAGGAAAATACTGACATTGCTTAGAAAAACTGAATCATAATGGAAGATTAGTTTTTGGGGCAGGAGAAATAAGCAGATATGAATATTTGACCAATTTCCTATTCATCAAGCACGGGGCAAAGCTGTTTGAAAAACTGTAAGTAAAGAAACTTAAATTTTACTAGTGGGAACATGGTAGAGGTTTTTTTTGTTTGTTTGTTTCTTTGTTTTTTGAGATCGTCTTGCTGTGTCGCCCAGGCTAGAGTGCAGTGGCACGATCTTGGCTCACTGCAAGCTCTGCCTCCCGGGTTCACGTCATTCTCCTGCCTCAGCCTCCCCAGTAGTTGGGACTACAGGCGCCCGCCACCACGCATGGCTAATTTTTTGTATTTTTAATAGGGTTGGGGTTTCACCGTGTTAGCCAGGATGGTCTCTATTTCCTGACCTCGTGATACGCCTGCCTTGGTCTCCCAAAGTGCTGGAATTACAGGCGTGAGTCACTGCGCCTGGCCAGAGGTTGGTTTTAAATATCCTGGATGGACCAAGATCTAATTTTGGCTCAGGAAAATATAACTTAAGATAGAATCTTGGGGCTGGTTATGGTGGCTCATGCCTATAATCCCAGCACTTTGGGAGGCTGAGGCAGGAGGATTGCTTGAGCCCAGGAGTTCAAGGCCAGCCTGTGAAATACAGTGAGACACCATCTCTACAAAAAAACTTAAAAATTAGCCCGGCATTGGCCGGGCACGGTGGCTCACGCCTGTAATCCCAGCACTTTGAGAGGCCGAGGCAGGCGGATCACTAGGTCAGGAGATCGAGACCATCCTGGCTAACACGGTGAAACCCCGTCTCTACTAAAAATACAAAAAAAATTAGCCAGGCATGGTGGCGGAGGCCTATAGTCCTAGCTACTCAGGAGGCTGAGGCAGGAGAATGGTGTGAACCCAGGAGGCGGAGGTTGCAGTGACCCAAGGTTGTACCACTGCACTCCAGCCTGGGTGACAATGAGACTATCTCTAAAAAAAAAAAAAAAAAAAAAAAAAAAGAATCTTGGCCAAGTGCGGTGGCTCATGCTTGTAATCTCAACACTTTGGGAGGCCCAGGCAGGAGAATTACATGAGGCCAGGAGTTCGTGGTTGCAGTGCATTGTGATGTCTGAACCTGGGCAACAGAATGAGACTATCTCTAAAAAAAAAAAAAAGAAAGAAAAGAAAAGACATGTAAACGTTTTCCTTCTCTGTTTGCCAGAATGTTTGTAAAACTATTTTGTTTATTAAGTAGTTTTAGGTTTGTTATAAAAGTTGAATATTTAGAATGTCACAAAAGTATGCAAAATATCGTTAATATTTAAATCATAAAAGTATATAGTAAAAAAATAAATCATAGGTAAACACTATAGTGGCACCGTCTCAGCTCACTGCAACCTCTGCCTCCTGGGCTCAAGCCATCCTCCCAACTCAGCCTCCCAAGTAGCTGGGGCTACAGGCATGTGCCACCACACCTGGTTAATTTTTGCAGTTTTAGTAGAGATGGGGTTTTGCCATGTTGCTCAAGCTAATCTTAAACTCCTGGACTCAAGAGATCCTCCCACCTCAGCCTCCCAAAGTGCTGAGATTACAGGTGTGAGCCACCATGCCTAGCCTGGCATATTTCTTTTAAATCTTTTTTCTAACCCTGTGAATGTAGATACATGTATAATTTACTTTATTGGGATTGTACTCTCTAAAAAGGGAGTTTTACATACAAAGTATTTATAAAATTGTTTTTGTTCTTTTTCTAATGACAAATGTGATAATATTGAGAGCAAAATTAAAGATTATTTGTCAAAAAAGAGGAGTAAGGGGGTAAAGCCAGAGCAAATATAAAAACATACTAATAAAAAACTATAATAAACACTGTGTTGTTACTGGCTGACAAATACCCATCATAAATTGTAATAAATATGACTCTTTTCCTAGAAAAAGCAAGAGAATTGATGGAAACACAGCTGAAAATAAAACAATGAGGGACAATAACATAAAACTGAACGACTTAGGAGAAGAAAATGATACCACTCTTTTGAGTGCACCTGTTAGAAGATTTGAATGAATGGAGAAAACTTAAGATTAACTGGAGGGTGGTGGGCCTGGTGGCTGGGGCAAAGAGGAAGATATCACCATGAAATCATCCAGGCCCCAACCATATCATAGGCTAACCTCACCATTACAGTGCAGTGACCTCTTGCTCAGTATGTGAAGTAGTTCACTGGGAATGAAACAAGTGTGAGGCCCAGCTTGGTGGCTCGCGTCTGTAATCCCAGCACTTTGGGAGGCCGAGGCAGGTGGATCACTTGAGGTCACGAGTTCAAGCCCAGCCTGGACAACATGGTGAGACCTCGTCTCCACTAAAAATACAAAACGTAGCCAGGTGTGGTGGCATGTGTCTGTAATCCCAAGTACTTGGGAGGCTGAGGCAGGAGAATTGCTTGAACCTGGGAGGCGGAGGTTGCAGTTAGCCAAGATCATGCCACTGCAATCCAGCCTGGGCGACAGCCGTGCAAATGCTTAGCTAATTATTCCAACACCATTAATTGAATTAGTGGGAGGATCGCTTGAGGCCAGTAGTTGGAGACCAACCTGAGCAATAGAGCAAGACCCCATCTCTAAAAAAATACAAATCAAATGCTGGCTCCCCATATATCACCAATGCACCTGATGATATGATGAAGCTGCATTTATTGCTTCCCTCACTATGGGAGAACACCACTTCGTGAAGCTTTAGCGGTGCTTCAGACAGGAAAAGAAAGATCAGAATTTACTGAGAAATGAAAAATGGGCTTAAGGCGGTGAGTCTTTCAATGTCGGGATTTGACTGGGATTGGGTGAGAACCACGAGATACCAACATTCTAGGATTGGTGTTAACAGCAAGAGGAGGATTTTAATGAGAGGCATTCAAAAAATTTTAGAGTGCAAACTGTTGGTGCTGTCCATTGACAAGTTGATGGGTCTTTGCGGAAGATCCTGTAATGCAGAAACCATTTGCCTGCAGAGAACGTTCTGGAAAAGTAATGCGAATGAAGACAGTGGACTAGCAAAGTCCTTTTTATGTAGATGCTAATGTGGGGTTTTTGATTCTCAGTGTCCAGACCGAGTTTGGGGATAGACAGTTTTAATTCCCATATACATACATTTTTTAATGGACAGTGCACCTTAGGCACGTGTTTATTTTATAGTGTCAAAATCCTTTCATTTCTCGAAGGTGTTTGAGACCTGAGTTAGTTGCTAAACTAGCTAGTTTAAAGCTAAACAAGTAGCTTTAACCTGTCTGCTAAAACCTTCAGGTGGATTATTTCATTTGATCCTCACAAACACCTGTGAATCCTCACAAACACTTCACCATTATTGTCCCTATTTTATAGAAGAGGACAATGAGACTCAGAAGTAATAATTAGTTCACAATCTCGGGGCTACAAATACATGTTTTCAGGAACATCAGCAAAACCCTCTTAATCAAACAAACAAACGTAAACTCCAAAACCCTGCCTTATTCTTCTGTTTTTGCACAAGGGAGCTGGAATCCAGGTTCAAGATAATTATCTGGCCATTCTGTCTTCGCAGGGGTTCTTTTCCATTTCGGGGGAAGGGAGGAAAGGGTGGAAGCCGCTTCCACCCACTACAGTTCGGGCTTGGGTCAGCTCCTAGGTGTCGCGGAGCACGCCCCGGTGCCACCGACGGGGCCATTTCCGCCGCGGAGGCCGAGACAGCGCCGCCCGCTCGCGAAGGGTCCAGCTGCCCGGCAGGCTCGCGCTCGCGGCGCCAGCTCTATTCTCTTCTGGTCACCAGGGGGCGCCAGAAGCAATGGCGTGTCCCGAAAGGGACGGCGGCCACGTGACAGGGGGGTCACGCGCAGGGTCGTGGGGGACCGCCTGGGGATTCCCGGACGGCTGCCAGGAGTGAGCGGCAAAGTGCCGAGCCGGCTTGGGCTGCTTTCCTCGCTCCACCGCCTGCTCGTTTCGTCGTGCGCGGGCCGGACGGTGGGGCTGCAGCGGCGAAAGCGACTGAAGTTCCGGAGCAGTCGCATGAGCTTACCGGTTACCAGGAGGCTCCGGGAACAGACACCTCACCCTGACATTGTGGCAGGTTTGGCCCTTCCCGCAATGCAACAAAGGAGGGACTTTGTCCCAGCCTTTCCCCTAGCCAGGAGAGGTGCTGTTAAATCCCACTGTGCCTCCCCACTGGCCTTGGAGAGATGAGCTTTCCCCTGTAGTACCCAAGGGGACAGGTCGACGGGATGGACTTTGTATCTCTTGGCTGATCTGGTCGGACATCCTTGCCCAAACATCCTTGCCCAATAAGCACTTACCCAGTTGCCCACCCTCCAAAAAAAGGAGAAAAATCAAATCAGTAATTTGATCAATCATTTTCAGAACAATTCACCTGGTTGTGAACTGGGCTGGGCAGTTTCAAGACGTGAGTTTGTTAACTGACTAGTTTCTTGCTTGGTGTAGAGGCCTTAGGCACTCTCACACTTAAACTGGCAGAGAGGCTAGGGACTATCTAGACTACACACTGGCGTCACTCAACTGGAAACACGTTTTACACCTCAAGACATCCTACAATTTCACAGACTGAGATGCTGGCTGTGATGTCTATGCAGCACAGCCCCAAGTCCCAACCGACAGAAATGGCTCAGAAACTTAATTCATCACGGTTCTTTTTTCCTTTTTTTTTTTGAGACAGAGTCTTGCTCTGTGGCCCAGGCTGGAGTGCAATGGCGCGATCTCAGCTCACTGCAACCTCTGCCTCCTGGGTTCAAGCAATTCTCCCGCCTCAGCTTCCTGAGTAGCTGGCCACAAGACCCGGCTAGTTTTTGTATTTTTTAGTAGAGATGGGGTTTCACCATATTCACCAGGCTAGTCTTGAACCCCTGACTTCAAGTAATCAGCCCACCTGGGCCTCTCAAAGTGCTGGGATTACAGGCGTGAGCCACCGCGCCCGGCCTCACCACGGTTTTTTTTTTTTTTTTTTGAGACAGAGTCTGGAGTGCAGTGGCACGATCTCGGCTCACTGCAACCTCTGCCTCCCGGGTTCAATCAGTTCTCCTGTCTCCACCTCCTGAGTAGCTGAAATTACAGGCATGCCACCACCACGCCCGGCTAATTTTTGTATTTTTAGTAGAGACGGGGTTTCAAGATGTTGGCTAGGCTGGTCTCGAACTCCTGACCTCAGGTGATCTACCCGCCTCGGCCTCCCAAAGTGCTGGGATTACAGGTGTGAACCACTACCACCAGCCTCACCACCGTTCTTAATAGAAGTAGTCTATTTGAGGAAAAACCGTTAATTTGTAAAGAAACTGAATAATGTAATGGATTGAGGAATTTTTTTCCCAGGCTTGTTCTTTATATACCATCAAATCCACTGATTTTAAGTGTACAATTTAAAAAATAAATTTAGCCAGAAGTGGTAGCGCACACCTGTAGTCCCAGCTACTTGGAGGCTGAGGTGGGAGGATCACTTGAGCCAGGGAGGTCAAGGCTGAAGTGAGCTGTGATTGTGCCACTGCACTCCAGTCTGGGTGACAGATCAAGACCCTGTCTCAAAACTAAACAAATAAATAAAAATAAATTTATGGAGTTATGCAACCATCACCACAATACAGTTTTAGAACATTTCCCCTATCCCCCATGAATTCCCAGAAGCTGTTTGCAGTTAATCTCCTCTCTCATATTTAGCCCTAGGCAATCATTTGTCTGCTCTCTGTCTGTATATAGTTGCTTTTTCTGGACATTTCATATGAATGGATTCATGCAATATGTGGCGTTTTGTGTCTCTATTCTTTCACTTAACATGATGTTTTCAAGGTTCATCCATTTTGTAACATTATCAGTACTCCCTTCCTTTTTCTAGCTAAATAATATTACATTGATGGATATACCATATTGTTTTTCCACTCATCAGTTAATAAACATTTGAGTTGTTTCCACTTTTTGGTTGTTATGAATAATTCTGTGAATATTCGTATACAAGTTTTTGTGTGGACGTATGTTTTGGGTTCTCTTGGGTATGTACCTAGGAATGGAATTGCTGGGTTTTATAAAGTAACTGTATGTTTAAATTTTTAGGAACTTCTGGACTGTTTTCCAAAGTGGCTGCACTGTTTTCTCTCCTCACTGGTAAATGTATGAGGATTTCTATTTCTCCACATCCTTACCAATACTTTCTTGTCTGTCTTTTTGATTGGTGTCTCATTGTGATGTTAATTTGCCTAGATCGAGTGATTTTTGGTTGTATTTGGTTTAGCTAGTTTCACTTCATTTAACGAATGCCTTTTTTAGTGTTGTAAAAAATAGGAGCTGAAATGAATAATACATAGTCCTTCCTTGCAAGGAGCACAATGACAGTACAGCTTGTTAAGTGCTCTGAAGGGAGTTGAGGACAAGATGCTCTGGGGAGCAGAGAAGAGAACACTTAACCCTGCTTGAAGGCAGGTGGAGGAAAGTATTAAGGAAACCTTTTCCAGAAGGGGTCTTAATGTGCCTCTGGTTTTCTTTTGTTTATTTTAATCAAAATTATACAAGTACATACTGTAGGCTTTTTGTTTGTTTTGAAACAGCATCTCGCTCTGTCACCCAGGTTGGAGTACAGTGGCGCGTGCAATCACAGCTCACTGTAGACTCAACCTTTTGGGTTCAAGCAATCCTCTCACCTCAGCCTCCCAAATACCTGGGACTACAGGTGCACACCACCACGGCTGGCTAATTTTTAAATGTTGTGTAGAGACAGGGTTTCACGGCTGGGCGCAGTGGCTCACACCTGTAATCCCAGCACTTTGGGAGGCCGAGGTGGATGGATCACCTGAGGTCAGGAGCTCGAGACCAGCCTGGCAAACATGGCGAAACCTCATCTCTGCTAAAAATACAAAAATTAGCTAGGTGTGGCGGTGTGCACCTGTAATCCCAGCTACTCAGGAGGCTGAGGCAGGAGAATTGTTTGAACTCAGGAGGTGGAGGTTGCAGTGAGCTGAGATCACGTCACTGCATTCCAGCCTGGGTGACAGAGCAAGACTCCATCTCAAAAAAAAAAAAAAAAAAAAAGACAGGCTTTTGCCATGTTGCCCAGGTTGATCTTGAACTCCTAGGCTCAAGCAATCCTCCCACCTCAGCCTCCCAAAGTGCTGGGATTACAGGTATCATACTGTAGTTTTAAAAAAAATCAAATAGTTCTACAAGATTTGCTTTTTTAAAAAAGGAATCATTTGCTTTCCTTCCCGTTCCATGTTGCCCCCAAAAGCAACCACTTTCTGTTCTTTTAACTCTTTGAATATTTACCTATATATCTTTAAAGAGCATATTTTTATTTGAGAAAAGGAAGCCCCAACATAGGCCAATTACTATCCTCACTTGCACTGATTTTTAAATTGGTCAGCCTTATTAAATATTAACACATGGTTAATTATGAAAGTGACCGTCACAATGCAGCCTACCTTCTGTCCATCTAAATGAAAGAAGACAGGCATGCTCAACAGCTAGCTACTAGAATAACTGAAGTAACACAATACATACTTTTTAAAAATGTGGGCTGGGCGCGGTGGTTCATGCCTATAATCCCAGCACTTTGGGAGGCCGAGGTGGGTGGATCACCTGAGGTCAGGAGTTCGAGACCAGTTTCGAGACCATAGGCGAAACCCCATCTCCACTAAAAATACAAAAATTAGCCAGGTGTGTGCCTGTAGCCCCAGCTACTTGGGAGGCTGAGGCAGGAGAATCGCTTGAACCTGGGAGGCAGAGGTTGAAGTGAGCTGAGATCACACCACTGCACTCCAGCCTGGGCGATAAAATAAAATAAAATAAAATAAAATAAAATAAAATAAAATAAAGAGTGACTGAGGAATTGTTTTCCTCATTGGTGCTTTACTATCATATAGCTCCAATAAGCCAGCACCCAAATGTAACTGTCAATTATGAGGAATGTTATTTTCACTTAAACTTTAAAAGAAAAGCAAACCACAAACAAGCTGCATGATGTAGTATAGGAATTGGCAATCTATGACTTGTGAGCTAAGAATGTGTTTTCAGATGAAAAGTGACAACAAATTTGATGATAGGGAACACTAATTTTCAACCCCAATGAAGCAAAATGTTATTTTTCTATTCTAATCTTTTCATTAGTAGGACTGTATTATGAAACCTTATAGTCAATTGTTATTACATTTTAAATTTCATTAATTAAAAATTTGTACAATTTTGTTTTCTCTCATTATGTAAATACTTATATAGTATCCTCGATCTTGCTTCTTGGTTCATAAATTCTAAATTATTAACTCTCTGACCTTCACAGAAAAGCTTGCCAACTCCTGGTTTAATAGAATAAAAAGTTGGGCTGGACGTGGTGGCTCACGCCTGTAATCCCAGCACTTTGGGAGGCCGAGGTGGACGGATCATGAGGTCAGGAGATCGAGTCCTGGCTAACGTGGTGAAACCCCGTCTCTACTAAAAATACAAAAAATTAGCTGGGCGTGGTGGCGGGCACCTGTAGTCCCAGCTACTCGGGAGACTGAGGCAGGAGAATGGCCTGAACCCAGGAGGCAGAGCTTGCAGTGAGCCGAGATCGCGCCACTGCATTCCAGCCTGGGCGCCTCCGTCTCAAAACAAACAAACAAAAAAAGGGCTGGGCGCAGTGGCTCATGCCTTTAATCCCAGCACTTTGGGAGGCCGAGGTGGGCAGATCACGAGGTCAAGAGATTGAGACCGTCCTGGCCAACATGGTGAAACTCTGTCTCTACTAAAAATACAAAAATTAGCTGGGCATGGTGGCATGCAACTGTAGTCCCAGCTACTTGGGAGAGTGAGGCAGAAGAATTGCTTGAACCCGGGAGGCAGAGGTTGCACCTCTGAGTGCAGTTGAGCTGAGATCGCACCACTCTACTCCAGCCTGGCGACAGAACAAGACTCCATCTCAAAAAAAAAAAAAAAAGTATGGAAAACAATTGACATATACTTGCTGTGTGACCTTGGGAAGTCACTTTATGTCTCTGGTCTTTATTTTTATTTTCTATAAAATTGAGCTAAAGGGTAATGGGTTGATGAGATAAACTCTACTATGAATCCCCCACCCCCTAAATTTTTTATTAATTAATTATACAAATATTTATTGAGTTACTGTTATGTACCAAGAACTGTTAAATGCATTGGGGACACAGCATGAAACAAAATTTTTGTCCTGAAAGAAGACACTGTTTTCAATGAAAAGAGACTTAAGATGCAGCGTGTGGTCTGAGACTGGATCATGATTTAAACAAACTTGCTTAATGGGACATTTTGGGGAAAATTAGGGAAATTTGTATATGGATGGTTATTAGATGATGTGAAAACTTATTAAGATGAAATGGTGGAGGTCATTAACTGAAAAGGGCAGTTGTAAAACATTTTGTACAGTATTTCATTTTTGGAAGAAAATGCGTATATGTATTACATATACTTAGAAAGAATATCTGAAAAGATATATACTAAGCTGTTAACAGTGGTGATTTCTGTGTGATGGGAGCACAATGTTCTATTTAGTTATTTTTGCTTTCGAATTTTTCACAATGAATATATACTGTTTTTGTAAAAATAAAAGATTATTTCTAATTTAAAAAATAATCTCTCTTTTCACAAAGCTTATAGCTAATGCCTCTTGTAAGTATTCATATTGCCAATTTGTCACTTTTTTTTTTTCAGGGCAGGAAAACATCTAAGAATGGAGGCTCCCCCTTCCCTTGCAGGTAACAAAGTACCAGGGTGATCTCTGTAAAACAGCTACTGAATGTAAACTGATGCTACTTGCCTTCCTCTGGGACTTTTACTGAGAAGTAGAGCTTTCCTAGTCTTCCCAATTTCAGACAACTCGAGATTGAATTCCTTCCTTCCTTCCTTCCTTCCTTCCTTCCTTCCTTCCTTCCTTCCTTCCTTTCTTCCTTCCTTCCTTCCTTCCTTCCTTCTTTCTTTTCTTTTTTCTTGTTTTTGACAGAGTCTTGCTCTGTCACCCAGGCTAGAGTGCAGTGGCACGATCTCGGCTCACTACAACCTCCACTTCCCGGGTTCAAGCGATTCTCCTGCCTCAGCCTCCCGAGTAGCTGGGATTATAGGCACCCACCATCGTGCCCGGATAATTTTTGTATTTTTAGTAGAGATGGGGTTTCACCATGTTGGCCAGGCTGGTCTTGAACTCCTGACCTCAGGTGATCCGCCTGCCTTGGCCTCCCAAAGTGTTGGAATTACAGATATGAGCCACTGCACCTGGCCTAGATTGGATTTCTTATCTTGCAAAGCCAAGGTGAAGTCCAGACCCTGAAAAAGAAAATGTATCAAGATAAACGCTGCCTTGTGAGCCCTATCAATAGTCCTATCAATAGCTTTCTAATAATGGAGGATTTCAAATGAGATCGGTTTTGTTTTTAGGGTGACCAGCAATTAAAAAGAAGTACTAGAGAGGCAAATATTGGCAGTATACATCTAAGCGCTGGTCAGAAAAGAAGGAACCCAACCCAAGAACTCGCCCAATCTGATACTGGAGGTAGGTGTATCTCTGTTGCATCCATGAACACATTGGGCTACCAAAGCCCGATGTGATTAAGCATTTGAATCATGTAACTGCTTCTCTTATTGGTAGGCCAGGAGTCAGCAAACTTCAGCATGTGGACCAAATCTGGTCTGCCATCTATTTTTGTAAATAAAGTTTTATTGTTTATTTGTTTATATATTGTCTATCACTGCTATTACCCTGTGATGGAAGAGTTGAGTAGTTGTGACAGATACTGTATATGACCTACAAAGCCACAAATATGTACTATCTGTCCATTCATTCATTCATTCATTCATTCATTCATTTATTCATTAATGAGACAAGGTCTCGCTCTATCACCCAGGCTGGAGTGCAGTGGAGTGATCACGGCTCACTGCAGCCTCGAACTCCTGGGCTCAAGCAATCTACCCACCTCATCCTCCCAAGTAGCTGGGACTACAAGTGCACCCCCCCCATGCTCAACTAATTTTTAAATATTTTGTAGGGATGGGGTCTTACTGTGTTGCCCAGGTCGGTCTCGAACTCCTGGGCTCAAGCGATCCACCCGCCTCAGCCTCCCAAAGTGCTGGGATTACAGGCATGAGCCACCATGCCCAGCCTATATGGCCCTTTAAATAAAAAGTTTGTGGACCCCTCCTCTAGATTCACCAGAAAACTGCCTCAGTAGGCATTACCATGGAAGAGAATAACCACTTGCAGTTATATTATTTTCTTTTTTTTCCCTATACGTTTAAGTAGTGTTCCTTTCATCCAAGGGAAAATGAAGAAAGGGAAGAAAGGGACTTTCTTTGGTCCCTGCCTGTGTTCACCTTTGCCAAGGACCTTTCTCTCAGGAATCCCTCTCTGCTCTTTTCAAGGAGGGTTTCAGGTTCTGTGTTATCACTCAAATTGTGACCTTTATAAAGCCCCACTGGTCTGCTTGGAATTTCACATGATGTGCCCTTCTCTAGATTTAGGTCTTTACATATAGTACTCGCTTATTTAAATTTTATTTGTCTTTCAAGGTGCCGCTCAAGAACCACTCCCTCCAAGATGTTTTCCTGGATTTCCTCAGCCTAAAGTAATCCCTCTTTTTCCTGAGTGAGTCATATCTTTTAGTTTATTCGTCTCGTTTGGCTCATATTCACTGATTTACATCCATACTCGTTGCTTTGTGCTTATTTGTATTCGTGAGTTACATTCTCTACCAGATTTTAAATTCCATGAGGGTAGGTACATATGTTGTTCAACTTTTTTTTTTGAGACAGATTCTCGTTCTGTTGCCCAGGCTGGAGTGCAGTGCACGATCTCAGCTCACTGCAACCTTCACTCTCCGGGTTCAAGCAATTCTCATGCCTCAGCCTCCCGAGTAGCTGGGATTATGGGTGCATGTCACCACACCTGGCTAATTTTTTTTTTTTTTTTTTTTGAGATGGAGTCTCACTCTATTGCCCAGGCTGGAATGCAGTGCACGATCTCAGCTCACTGCAACCTCCCCCTCCCGGGTTCATGCTATTCTCCTGCCTCAGCCTCCTGAGTAGCTGGCACTACAGGTGCCCGCCACCGCGCCTGGCTATTTGTTGTTGTTGTTGTTGTTGTTGTATTTTTAGTAGAGATGGGGTTTCACCGTGTTAGGCAGAATGGTCTCGATCTCCTGACTTCGTGATCCACCCGCCTTGGCCTTCCAAAGTGCTGGGATTACAGGCGTGAGCCACCGCACCCGGCCTGTGTGGACTGTCTTTTTACTGATGAGAGTATTCTTTGATGCACAAAGGTTTTTTATTGTGATGCAACCGAATTGTCTATTTTTTCTTTGTCGTTTTGGTGTCATGTCCAAGAAATCACTGCCAAATCCGGTGTCGTGAAGCGGTTCTTCTAAGTTTTCTTCTAAGAGTTTTATAGTTTAAGACCTTACAGTTACATCTTTGATCAATTTTGAGATAATTTTGTATATAATGATTTTAGGTAAAGGTCCAACTGCATTTTTTCTGCATATGGACATTTAGTTTTCCCAACATCATTTGTTGAAAATAAATTGTTAAGGTCACTATAGTTTTGTAGTAAGTTCTGAAATCAAGAAATGTGAGGCCGGGCGCGGTGGCTCAAGCCTGTAATCCCAGCACTTTGGGAGGCCGAGAGGGGCAGATCAGGAGGTCAGGAGATCGAGACCATCCTGGCTAACACGGTGAAACAAAAAAAAAAAAAATTTAGCCAGGTGTGTGACATGCACCCCCCCCCCCCATAATCCCAGCTACTCGGGAGGCTGAGCACTGAGAATTGCTTGAACCCGGAGAGTGGAAGGTTGCAACGAGCTGGATCGTGCACTGCACTCCAGCCTGGGCAACAGAACGAGAATCTGTCTCAAAAAAAAGTTGAACAACATATGTACCTACCCATGGAATTAAAAATCTGGTAGAAATGTAACTCACGAATAAATAAGCACAAAGCAACGAGTATGGATGTAAAATCAGTGAATATGAGCCAACGAGGACGAATAAACTAAAAGATATGACTCACTCAGGAAAAAGAGGGAGATAACTTTAGGCTGAGGAAATCCAGGAAAACATCTTGGAGGGAGTGGTTCTTGAGCGGCACCTTGAAAGCAAATAAATTTTAATAGAGGAGTACTTACATGTAAAAGGACCTAGAATTCTAGG